GCAGCTTGAACTTCTGCCTTCATCACCATAGGCTCTGGCTCAAATGCTATTTCATTAAATTCTTCTGTATCTGCCAATTCCTTTTGATACAATGACTCAGTATATTCCTTCCATCTTCTTTTGATACCTCCTGGATCATTTAACATTCTGCCTAAAGCATCCGTTTCATATAATCATTCCCATAAAAACAAAATTTTATCACTCCAACAACTTTACTAAAAGTGTGCAAAGTCACACTTCACACTGCTTACAAGAATGGTTATTAAAATGCAAATAGGTAGAGAAAAAAGAAAAACAATTACGAGAATAAGTTGAATACACCTACATGGAATTTAAAAATGTATGACTCAGCGACCCAATGAACAGATCTGAACCCTGCTCTATCCTGTGCCATCTTCACCATCTCTGACAGCCTTGAGCTCATTGCTGCAGTCACAGTGTCAATCCACCTGGTCTAGGGTCTTCATATTTTTGCTGACCCTTAACCTTTCCAAGCATGGTTAAGAGCAGCAGGTTCAATTTAATGAGCAGCCTTGAAATGACAAGCTTTCCCAGGGTGCCCGAAATAATTTTGTATCATATTAAACTTTTTATCTTTCAAAGCGAGCCCTGGGGGATTTATCCCACGCGATAAGGTGGAAAGTTTTTTTGCTGTGTTTTTGTAAATCGTTATCTATCTTTGTTAAAATGTTCGCTGTTCGATTACGTATGCGTTTCACAGCAAAAGCTCTGTAACAAGTGATTGCAACAGAACCTCCTCCCACGTGTAAAAGGATTCCTCCCGGGATTTCGTCCCTCTCCGCCAGTCAACAATAAATTGCCCAGTTTCGAGTTCACCAGGGGACATGTAGGACTTTCTTTTTACCTGCTTGGACAATTACATCAGAAATCATTCATGGCCAATTAAAGAGCAGGGACCACCCAAACAGATCAGACTTGAGTTCTACTTCTCGAGATGTTTTAAAACTCATTTCCACACAGAAGGGAGTCGTTCGTCCTGTGGGATGGGGGTTTGCAGAGGTCCAGGGAAGGGGGGGGGGGCAATTTCAAAGAGCTACAAATACACTCAGCAGTGTAAACTATCCTGGAGTCTAGAAAAGTTCATCTCTAGGTCTAACCTTGATTTTTCTCTTTTGCCAAGCAAGCCCTTCCCCCCCTTTGGCCAGGTCCAAGAAACTTCCTACTTACCCTTTCCTTGCTAACAAAGACGCTCCATCAAGAAGGAAACGACCCTTTCCATCCACACACCTGTCCCCTACCCAGTCGCAGCCGCACTTCAGACCTCCCCGCCTCACCTTCTCCCGAGATGCTGCAGACCGAAATTAACCCCTTCCAGCCCTGGGCCGGAACGGGGAAGACTAAAGACAACGCACCCATTGCACCTTGCAATTCTGCTCCCCCAGGAAACGAGAGCTCTAGAGCGAACCAGGCCCACTTCGCGAGGATTGAATGAACTTTCTCCTCCTGTTTGAAGGGAAAGAGGGATCTGTTAAACCCGAAAGCTTGGACTTTCGCAATGTACCCCATTCACCCCCGAGGTTTAGCAATGACTGAGACAGTCACCTTCGGCCAGGATCCCAGCCCCAGAGCAGCAGAAGAGAGACTCAGATATCTAGGCATCGTAGCTGCGGCCAGAAATATCGATGCTTCTTAACATTCAGGTTTAGCATGATAATTCTTTCTAGGGAAAATAAAAAGGAAGGTTTTTTTCTCCCATGGATGGTTGCCGACCTCTTGTTGCCTCGTCGCAGCTGGCAGAGAATCCCGGCCTTGTAATGGCCGGAGAGCAGGAGGGGGCGGGGTGGAGGGCTCGGCGCTCATCTCATCATGCCTGAGTGTGCGCGGTGCTCGCGGATCCGGGCCTCGGACCGCGGAGAAGCCGAGCGGGAGCGGAGCGGAGGTGAAGGAGAATGGCGTCCCAGCCGCCGCCTCCTCCCAAACCCTGGGAGACCCGCCGAATTCCGGGGGCTGGGCCGGGGCCGGGACCCGGACCCACTTTCCAGTGAGTGTGAGATTGTTAGGATGGTCCGTGTGGTGGGGCCGGAGCTCGGGGGCTGGACGGGGCCGCGGGAGGGAGCGGTTGAGGCCGTTGATGAGGGTGTTCCTTCCCACGCCCGGCCAGCCGGTCACTTTGGGGGAGTCAGCCTTGAAGCGGGGTTCCGTCGAGGGGAATTTCGTTCAACAGCTCGCTTGCGGCATTTTCTTTTTCATGGTATTCCTAGGAATTCTCTGGCCCCCGGTGCTTGGGGAGAAAGGGACTGGGTGCTACTTTCTGAACGTCTTGATGGAACTGCTGGAGTTTCTTTAAGCTTTACATTGTGTTTTGCAGTAGAGGATGGCATGTGCCCAGTACCCCGGGCAGCGCCGGGGAGCAAAGTCTCCTGAAAGCTTTTCACTTCCTCTCGGGAAGTTGGTGAAAGCCCAAAAGGTCGCTCGGAAGCCACTGGCAGCCGAGCCTTTGCGCTGCCTGTGTGTGTTCGGAAGTTGGTGTGTTTTGGGGTTGTTGGGGTTTTTTTAGCCTCACTCAGCTAGTGTTTTCAGATTGAAATTTTGGAGCAGCAATTTTAAAGCGCGAGATCTGGACCTACGAGTAGCCTGTTTTGCAGAATTGCTTCTTCTCCTGCTCGTTTTTATCTGTATCGAAGGATTCTACGCCTCACAAAAGATTAAACTAGAATAGTTTCGTGTGTGTGTGTGTGATCTGATCATTTAGTTAAATCTCTAATGCGAACAGGATTTTTGAAAGAAACATTCAAAACATACGGAATTTCTAATATTCTTACGTTGTTGTTATGTGCCGTCGAGTCACCTGCGACTCATAGCGAACCTATGTACAACAACCCTAAACTCTGCTCTGTCCTGTGCCAATCGCACTGTCTCTGACACTCCCATCCCGATTATCCCAGTCACTGAATCAATCCACCTCCTAGAGGGCCTTCTCTCCTGCGCCTTCCCTCCACCCTCCCAAGCATGATGTCCTTCTCCAAGGACCGGTGCCTCCTCACAACATGTCCAATGTATGTTAGACGGAGCCTCAGAATCCTTGCCTCCAAGGAGCCACCCGGTTTAACCCTTTCCAGGACAAATCTGTTTGTTTTCCTAGCAGTCTATGGTATTCTCAATACTCTTCTCCAGCACCACAGCTCAAAGGCATCAATTCTGCTTCTATCCTCCTTGGTCATTGTCCAACTCTCTGATGCATAACAAGTGATTGCGAAGACCATGGCCTATATCAAACGCACCTTAGTCTCCAGAGAGACACCATTGCTCTTCAGTACTTTGGAGAGGTCCCTAACAGCAGACTTTCCCATGGCAATGCGCCTTTTCATTTCCTGGCTGCTGGTGCCAAGACTGTTGACTATGGAGCCAAGCAAACTAAAGCTGTGTACAATCTCAATCTCTTCACCATCCATCCTGATGCTGCCAATTGGTCCAGTGGTGAGAATCTTTGTCTTCTTGACATTGAGCCTCAATCCATATTGTAGGCTGCAGTCCTTGACCCTCTGCAGCAGGTGCTTCAGGTCCTCTTCAGTTTCAGCAAGCAGGGTTGTGTCATCTGCATAACGCAGATTGTTGATAAATCGTCCACCAATCTTGACCCCACATTTCTCCTCATAGAGCCCAGCCTCCCGGATAATCTGTTCTGCATATAGGTTGAAAAGGTATGGAGATAGGATGCATCCCTGGCGTACACCCTTCCCAATTTTGAACCATGCAGTGTTCCCTTGCTCTGTTCTGACGACTGCTTCCTGGTCCAAGTATAGGTTTCGCATTAGCACGATCAAGTGTTCTGGGATTCCCATTCTTCTCAGAGTCAGCCACAGTTTGTTATGATCCTCACAGTCAGTATTCTTATAGATTATGAATTTCTTCATTTCAGCCATTCTTGAGCACAGTAGTTCATTGGTTTAATCATCAAAACCTGACAAGTTGTAAAGGGAGTTTTGAGGACCTGTTATTGAGTCAACCCCGTAGCTGACTCTCTTAATCACAAGGGAGGAGATTCCCCCTGCAGAGCTGGTGGCCTTGATCCTTGTCTCTTTGGGATTGCAGCACAGTTTCTTGCCCCTAGGCCACCAGAGCTTCCATGATGACCTGGTAGTAAAGAATTGCACTTGCCAACCCGCAGGTTCAAACCCACCACCAGCTGTTCCGCAGGAGAAAGATGGGCATTCTCCTCCTTTGCTGTTTACAGCCTCTGACAACTCCCTGGAGGGTCAGCTATGAGTCCCATAACAACAAGTAATAAGCTTTAATTTTACTTTTCAGCTGTAGTGACACTTTCTTTTCTTTTTTTTTTTTATGGAGTGTTTCTGACTTTTTAAAAAAATTAGACTGGTCTTTTTGAGGGAGATGTGATTTGTGCATCTGTTAAACTTGGTTTTTAAAAATTTTATTAAAGATTTTGAAGACTTAGAGATCTACAACCAGTAACCAGTTGCAGCCGAGTCGACTGATTCCTGACGGCCAGTTCGGAACAGAACTGAGCTCTATAAGGCTTTCAAATGCTAGTTCTCTTTGGAAGTTGATTGTTACGCCTTTGTGCTGAGGCCCCTCTGCATCGACTCGAACCTCCAGCCTTTTTGTTAACAGCTTGTAGAAAGTGAGGTAATTAATTCACCAGCCACCTTTGTTTTGTTTTTGTTGTTGCTGTAAACCATCATGTCAGAACCAACTCATAGCTGACCCTCCAGTGGATTTTCAGAGACATTTAATCCCACGAGAGGAAATTGTCCATCTTTCACCTTTAAAACCCTAATATTTTGTGAATTCACAGATGTGGTTTTTTTTTTAATGGAAATTTAATTAACAGTTAAACTTTCTCCTTTCTCTTTTTCCAGCAGTTATGCCAGTCCCTGTCTGATTTTTATTGTACCTAATAAGGTTTTTATACCTAATACTTAAGTTTATGTGCTCATTTACTGTGTATTATTGCGTGGTACGTTATCTAACTGAGTGAGTACACCAACTCACCAACTCCTCACTTACCTTCTCTTTGTCCAACATTTCACTTTATGACCAAGTGAAAGTGCCTGTTTTGTGCAATGCTGACATGCATTTGGCAGTAGTGAACACCTGGGTTCAAGGCAAGAGCAGGGCTGGCAGTGATGGGTGAAGTCATGTGTCTCTCTGCTGGGCCGGCCTTCTAAGTGCTCTGGCAGTTAAGTGATGCAGGCTGCGGCCATTCTGTTTGTGATCCAGTCGTCTTCAGCCTCTGTTTCCCCATACTCCCAATTTCTGCAAAACCACCTGGACTTTGGGACCAAAGTAATAAATGAGGAGTTGGGTATGACTTCAAATACATATCATCCTGAAAAATTTTTTTTCCATGAACTGTTAGGAGTTTTTTTAGTTGATTTGTTGAGCTGCGACTCTTGTTCACATTGAGGCAGTTCTGACTTTTTGAGCCTCACGTGGACAGAGAACTGCAGTTGTTCAGAAGCTCTTGAGTCCATTCCAACTACTGTTTTTGCTGCTAATAACGGAGTAGTTAGGTTAACTGTTTACGTGACCCAGGGATTCCTGAATGGACTATAGTTGCATTGTTGTCAGACGCTGTTGAGAGGTGATTTCAATTTGTGTTACCTCATGTGACAGAAATGGCCCATTGGATTTGCTAGGCTGTAATCTTTATTATAACTACTGTAGAAAATCATTAATAGAAAATTACGTCCTTTGTTAATAGCATTTATTCGTTCTCTTGGTGGATGTTAGATGATCAATTTGGGATATTTTTGTTTAATATTCCTAAGAGTGCTATAGTGAACAGCCTGCCTTCTCATTCCTGCTTGCAAGACATTTTCTAAGATTAAATACCAAGCCACCCCAGCAACAATAGCAAAGTTCAACAGGGCAGCAAAGAACAAATGCTGGTGAGATTGTGGAGAGATCGGAACTCTTATTCATTGTTGGTGGTAATGTAAAATGGTATTCCCTCTATGGAAAGGCATCTGGCACTTTCTCAAAAAGTTGGCAACAGAAATTCCATTTGACTCAGCAACTTCACTACTGGGAATATACCCTAAAGAAACCAGAGCCACGGCTCTGACAGATGTCTACACACCCATGTTTATTGCTGTGTTATTCACACCCATGTTTATTGCTGTGTTATTCACAATAGCAAAGAAATGGAAGCAATCCAAGTGCCCATCAACAAACCAATAGATAGAAAAACTGCAATACATTTACACACTCTGAATGTTACGCAGCCTTGAAAAACAATGGATTCGTAAAACATTACACAACATGGGAGAGCTTGGAGGACATTATGCTGAGTGAAATACCTCAGTCACAAAAGGACAAACACTGCATAATGCCCCTCTTATAAAATATGACAGACAGAGATGGAGGAGGTGGTCGAGAAGTAGGCTTCTGCTGTTGGGCTTCTGTCCGCTTTGCGGCGGAAACGCCTTCCGCGCAGGACATCAATGCAAGCCTGAATAGGAAAAACAATTCTTTCCACCTAAGCCATGGCTTATCAGTTATACAGAAATACCACCTTGGGAAACAGTCTTCAAGAGAGCCTGGATGAGCTCATTCGGTCTCAACAGATAACCCCTCCAACCCAACTTGCTCTTCAAGTTCTCCTTCAGTTTGATAAGGCTATCAATTCAGCATTGGCTCAGAGAGTCAGGAACAGAGTCAATTTCAGGGGCTCTTTAAATACAGACAAATTCTGCGATAATGTGTGGAGTTTTGTTTTGAATCATGTTGAATTCAGAGAGGTGACAGAGCTTATTAAAGTGGATAAAGTGAAAATTGTAGCCTGTGATGGTAAAAATACTGCCTCCAATACTACAGAATGAATGGGGAGAAATGGCTTTTTTATGCCATCCTCTGTTATTACTCTTGGCTTTTTGAAGAGAAACTTAGAAGAGACTTTTTTAATTTATTCTAGCAATGCAGAAATTACTCCATTGTGCTGTGCTGTTGGAGAAGTCCAGTAGAAAGCTCGTAACTTTAGCCGCTTCCATTCACGTACTATGCAGCATGAAGAAACCA